GTTTAGTTTGGGATTTAGGGTTTAGGCACTACATACGTGTCGAGGAGGAACACATTGCCAGCGGCCCAGTCCGGGCCAGCACCGCCTCCAGGATAACCATAGTCCACTTAGTTGCTGAGTTCATAAGNNNNCTTTCAGTTCTATAGGGGATCATCTTATCCCGAAAAAGTTTAAAGTGTAGTAATTCAGCTACTACGTCCGTAAACGAGGCCATACCGGTGCACTCACGACGTCTCCAATGTCAGAACTGGAGTTCTCGTACCCCGGAACCAGCAAAACAGACAACTGCGGGGACTTACAGTAGAAGCGAGAAAGTTGGAACATCATTGTCCTGGTACTTTTAAGGCAAACTATAAGGGATCCTGGCACTAATCATCCTAAATCCATGTTCCAACTTTCTGGGGTTCGCTATACTATGTAGATGGCAAGAAGAGCCGTGATTAGGATAATGTACTTACTATGTAAGTCCATGGAGCCGCACTTAACCCTTGTGAAAAACCTTGAAAAAGCCAGAAATGGTGGCTCAACATAAAGCTGCTGAGGAGGAGCTGACGATCACTCAAAGAATCAGGACCTAGGGCTTTGGGGTATATCTGCACCCTGCAGCACCCGCTTCTTTTCGCGGAGCATATATAGCCTATAGTCTACACCTCCGTCTTCATGGGTCATAGACTAGCGAAGCCTACGTCTTCAGGTAGGGGCTGGGTTCCTGCTTGGGCTTTGTTGCTAAGTTCCTAAGCATAAAAAAATGTACACTTTCAGTTCTATAAGGGATCATAGTATCCCAAAAACATTATTTTAAGTGTGTAATTCAGCTACTATAAGTGGGGGTTTAGCAATAGCCACAGGGCCACAAATATTAGGCAAAACAAAAATCCAGCTGAGGGGTTCGAGTCCAACTCGTGCCTCCGATAACTACAAACACTAAGTTAAAGGAAACTACAGGTGGGGAGTTTAGGGTATTTAGGGCTTCTATATTTAAGGCTTCTATATAGTACGAAGATATTCTATAAGGCTGCTATAACGGTAACTAAAAATGTCCTAGATTAAAGCTTCTAGACAACACTGAATCTCCAAACCCTATAAGCCCCCAGGCAAAAGAACGCCATCATCTAGCGGATCCTCAATCCCCGAGACAGTAAACCCTAAGGCCCTAAACCCTAAAGCCCTAAAACCCAAAACCCTAAAACCCTACAACCCTAAACCTTAGCTTTTTGTACCCACTTAGGACTGGCCTGGGACTGGCTGGGTGAAGCCGCGCTCTGCGCCGGGATTGCTTGCGACAGGAGCTGCCGATGCTTCCTTTCGGGTTTAGGATTTAGGCTTTATGGGGTTTAGGTCTTAGGGTTGAAGCTTTATAGGGCTTAGGGTTTAGGGTTTAGGATGCTTCCTTTCGGGGTCTTAGGCTTTATAGGCTTCATAGGGTTTAGGGTTTAGGATGCTTCCTTTCGGGGTTCAGGGGGGTTTAGGGGTTTAGGATCTGGGGTTCAGGGCGCAGGGCTCTAGGGTTCTAGGGGGGGTTTAGGATTTATAAGGTTTACCTGGGGATCCGAAAACCTACGGTTTTAGGGGTTATACCTTAAAATTAAGGGGTCATAACCTACTATTTTGTAGGGTTTGGGGATACAGGTAGGGTCCAGGGTTTGGGGTTTGATTTACGCTTTAGGGTTTAGGGTCTGCGACAGGTGTTGTTGCCCTGGATCTGGCGCCAGACGCTATCTAAACCCGGTCGGGTTTCAGGGTGTAGGGTTTCAGAGTTTGGGCTTCGGGGTTTAAGGAAAATTTTGGGGCCTTGATGTCTGGTCTTTAGTAGGCAATGGAAGGAATGGTTTCCTTTGAGCAATCACTCCGGGTGGTAAGCTTTAGCAAGCGGGATACGAGCTTAGACCCTAAACCCTACAACCTATAGATGTCTTTAGAGGAGCTTAGGCAGTCGGGCGATTTCAGAAGTTGACTCTGTCCTGTCCTGATGTGGCATTGATTAGGGCTTAAGGTTTAGGGTTTAGGGAAATATGTGAGCCTGACCCTAACCCTACAAGAGTTGTAGTGCTGATCTCCCCCTCTATATTTACACCAAAACCCTGTTCTAGCTAGGCGCCGATGATCAAAGGCATTTAAGTTTAAGGCCACATAACGAGGAAGAACCTTGAACGAAGCTTCGAAAATCAGACAAAGATCTTTTCTAGTTATGCTGACAACCGATTGAACAACAAACCTATATGAATCCCCGTAAAAACCTACAAAAACCACACCCAAAATGCAAAAACCCTAAACCCTAAACCCCAAAACCCTAAACCCGAAACCCCTAACCCTAAACCTTAAACCCGAAACCCCTGAACCCGAAACCCTAAGCCTTAAACCCGAAACCTTAAACCTTAATCCCTAAACCCTAAACCGAAGCCTTAAACCGGAAACCCGAAACCCGAAAACTTAAACCCTAATCCCTAAACCCTAAACCGGAAACCCTAAACCCAAAGCCTTAAACCCTAAACCGGCCCAGGGGGCCTTCGATGCCTTTGAAGAGCTCTGGAGGCTACTCCTTGGGCTCCCTTCCCCGTTTGCGCTGCCCCGCCTGACGGAGGTTTCTCTAGGGGTTTAGGCTCAGTTTTCAGTTTAGGGTTTTTGGGGTTTTGGGGTTTAGGGCTTCGGGGTTTTGGGGTGTCAGGTTTCGGGGTTTGGGGTTTAGGATTTAGGGGTTTAGGGTTTAGGGTTTTAGTGTTTTAGGGTTTTAGGGTTTAGGGTTTTGGGCTTAGGGTTTGGTCGGATTTGGGGGTTTAGGATGGTTTAGGGCTCAGGGTTTGACACAAGCTCTAATTTCTGGTTTACGGTTACCGTCTACGATATGGCGGGTGTTCCGCGAGATCGGGTCTATAGGGTTCCTATCACTAAGAGCGATGCCTTATCTTGGGGATCAAAAAAAGGCCCAGATGTACAGGACTGCCCAGATGCCTGTTCAAGGTTTAGGGTGCGCTTGAAAGGGCCAGGGTTCAGCACAAACTACTATTTGACAGGCCATGTCCCCTAGTTACGGTACATGTTTTGGTGTTAAACATTTAAATCTGCAAGGGTGTAGGGTATCATTGTCTGTAGGTTGCCATGGGCGGCAACACGGCTACTGGTAGCGGAGAAGAGTCTGTCTTCCATGCCAAACCGGCCACGAGAAGTGTATGTTCCCAAAAGCGCCAATTAACCCAAAGGGTCCTAAGTACCTATATGGTAGAATGTAGGATTTCTATATTAGGAGCTACAAGTATGATTTAGGGCATTCTATATTTGGAATTACTATTATGATTTCGGGCATTCTACATTGGGAATTACTATTATGATTTCGGGCAGTATCCCCCATAGCAGTCCTGAAGACCCTTTTGGGGGCAGTGATTCTATTCAGACACCTTCCTCCTCTCGGCATCATCCTCGGCTGAGTGTCGAGACTCTGGCTCAGAGATCCCTGAAAGTCTCGCACAGGGATTGGGTGGAGGATTTTAGGGATGTAGTGTTTAGGGTTTAGGGTATAGGGTTTAGGGTTTAGGGTTAGGGTTTAGGGGTTGATGATATACTTCCTGCATGACCTTAAGGACCCTAAACTATGGGAATCATGGTATATTCCCTATTATTATATGGGTAATGCAGGATTTATATCGTCAACCGTATGAGGTTTAGGTGTCTCAGGGGTTCAGGTTTTGGGACTTAAGGGTATAGGGATGAGGAGTTAGGATGTGAGGTGTAGGGTGCGAGAAGGCGTAGTAAGTCGAAACGTGGTATGCTGCATGGTGCACAGCGAAACCTGGAGTGTGAGAAAGAACATCTTGACTTGGGGGTGCCTTCCTTATACAAACACGTAACTCGATTGAAAAGCTGATACCTAAACCCACCAAAAGCAGGTAAAATAATAGCCCAAAACCTAAAAAGGGCAACTATTCTAATTACATACTTTGGGGGGTCCAGGTAGACCAAATGCAGTGTTTCAGGGATTCGCCGGGGAGCGAAGCTGTTCTGAGGCTTGGCCTTGGTACTTCTTGCGTCCGGAGGCTTCGAAATCAATCCTGCACCTAAAGAAGACGCAGAGGAACCGCGTGAAGTGATTGCTTCCTCACCGATTCGTGGGTTATATGATTCACAGGTTGGGTTTAAGGGTGTAGGACTTTGGGTTTAGGGTGCCTCAAGTTCTGATCTCTGGTAAGGTCCTCTGCTCTACCATGGGGTTGTAGAGGCTGGAGGGCTTCAGAGGCACATTAAGGTGCTCCCAAGCCTCTACAAATCTAAGCCCAATTCACCGGACCCTAAGCCGGCAACCCCCTTAAGCCGCAAGTGCATAAACACCAAGGAAGCCACGGCTTCGAAACGTCATCCACGACATGATTTGAGGGTTTAGCTTGCATTTAGTGTTTAGGGAACTTTCAGCCCTATCGAGCCCCCAAGCCCGAAGAAGACATACCCAACCCGGAAGCTCGCTCCTTAAGCCGCCGATGCTGTACACCC